TTTTTAATTTGTGAATTCCCAGTGAGGATGCAAACCCTTTTAGAAACACTACATATATAGACTGTTGCATAGCATAGCATTAGGGAAGGAATTCTGTGTATAACAGGCAATCTGGAAGAAAGCAGATGGACGATTTTGTGAGCTGTGCACAAATATTTAATATGTTTCTGATATTCCATACTCAGGGTCCTTTGAAAGGTTTTCTGGAAGACCTAGGGAAACTCCAGAAGAAGTTTTATGCAAAAAATGAACGATTAAATTGTCCTATAAGGACCTTCTTGGTTACAGCCAGAAGTGCAGCAAGTTCTGGAGCCAGAGTACTGAAGACTCTTCGTAGCTGGGGTCTGGAGATTGATGAAGCACTTTTTCTAGCAGGAGCTCCTAAAGGACCAATCTTGGTGAAAATTCGTCCTCACATTTTCTTTGATGACCAGATGTTTCACATCGAAGGAGCACAGAAATTAGGTACCATAGCTGCACATGTTCCCTATGGCATTGCTCAGAAATATCACAAATCCACATAATTGGATGGCACCATTAAAGATGATTCTTAACTCAGCCAGCCTCTAATATACCAATAGTCGTGTCTGAAAATTTCTATATTTGTATATTGTAAGCACTATGTTTTAAGATTTGACTTCTGGCTAGAACAACCTTTAAAGGAAATATTTTTAATATGAGTAAGTTTTTAATAGAATTATTTTAATATTATTCTTAAGCAGTTTAGTTTTTATTTTTACCTATCTGGATCTAACACTGTGTTTTCAATATTAGGAAAAAATCTGTACTGTTTTTATCGTTTAAACCATACTTTGAGAAAGACAGAACTGTTGTAGTTTCTCTAAAAAATTGTTAACAGGTTATTTACAACAAAAATCATGCTGCATAGGTAGCTCTTGCAAGTTTTTTCTGAAATGAGAACAAGCGCAGTTTACCTATACGTATTTACCTGTTAGTGGTTTGCTTATTAAATATGTGTTCAGTAGGTTTGGTATCATGAGGTTTTCAACTTCTGTGGGCAACTGTCTCTCCAGTGAAATGTTTGCTTCTTTGGTCTTGTGTTTACAGGAACCCTTTATTTTTCTACACTATTTTCCTATTTTAATAAAGCTGGCTTTACAGAACTTTGTCATTTTTTTTTTACGTTGAGGCTTTAGCATAGTTTCCAATGGAAACAAGGTTTATGGGATCAGTGTTTCTGTGACCCTCTCTCCCGAGGATATTTAGAACCAGTTGACCACTTCCACTCAAATTTGAGAGAGAGGCAGAGGTGTCAAACACACTTAATTCACAACAGATTTCCTGTAAATATATAGCTGGGTGGAAGAGCAGAGACCGTGTCAGTATTCTGACTGAGATAAAGGCTGAGGCAAAAGAGCACACCTTTGTAACAGCAGAGAATCTATGCTGAAGTAATACTGCTGATGGAACTACTTATTTCTTAACCAGATTCACTTAGATTTTACAGCGTTCTGCGATCTGCATGACTTCAGTTTGGCAACCTCAGACGAGCTTCCAGCGGACAGGTGTGTCTGTTGCAACATGAATTCATGTAAATTTACACCATAAGTCTATTCTACCTCTTTTATGTTAAGTTCTTGTATTTCACTGTCATTATAGTATCTGAGCGCCTTCCAAATGACACAACTAACATCTGTCAGGTGGTGTTTGTTCTCTTTCTCTCCCTTGTGGGACAAGTGACCTGTATTATTTTGATTGTTGCTGTATATTCATATCATAAGAGACAAAACCAAAAGAATGTGCTTTGCACTGGGTGTAGAAGACGGTGAAGGCTTCTGATAATGTGTGGTTCCTGAGGGAGTTCACCCCAGAATTTCATGTTAATGCCTGAAAAAGTTTAGTCTCTTCTGTTCAGATGAACTGTCCTGTTACTGTAGAAGGCTTCATTGCATTAATTGTGGTTCCAGCCTAGAAGCATAGGCAATCTTGTAAATGATATGGGTCCAAGTCACAAAGTTCTTTAAAAACAAGGTGAAAGCCTTCATCTTGTACAAAACTTGAATAGAGAGCATTAGAAAGGTTTTTATATGTTCACACCAGCATGTGTTGTTGATGGGATACACTGCAGAGTTCTAGTATACTTGGAATTTCCTAAGTGCTAAAGACTTTGTTCCCAAATATGTCACATTTCTACAGCTCAGCCAGGAGGTGAGGAAGACATGAATAACTGAGGCCTGGTGATCGTCTGCCACGATGGGATAGGGTTACCTTGACAAATGGAGATTACAAAAAATGTTATTAGCAGATGTTCTTATGTGAGAGCTCAGAATCAGCAAGAAATCCAAAACTATTCCTGAACTGTGGAATACATATTGCATGTATACCTTCACCACAGAAGCATAGCTGCAAATTCCAGGAGTACGGCTCCTGTCTTGCTGAAGCAGAACATGACCAGCCATCCTTCATTCATCCATTGTTAGAGCTATGGATGTGACGGTTGGGTGGAGAAAGAGATAAAGAATATATACGCCATAAGTGCCATATTGCTGGCACTTGACTCCATGTTGATACTGGAAAAGGCTAGTGGGATCCTTGATCCTTGTGGGACTCAAGGGGAGTGTCAGTCCTGACAGCACTAAAGTATGTGCGCAGGGAAATAAAGAGCGTAAAAGTTCTCATATTTTAAATTTATATAGTAGGTTTATTTGTCAGAGGACTCAAATCAACATTAAAGTCTAGAAGCTGCCATTCAGGTTCAGTTTGCCTAAGTTAATTGACCAAAATGCATTTCAATATTTTTTCAAATTACACGTACTACCTTTTAATTGTGATGCAACTCTCCCTGGCTCGGTGGCTGATTCTCTGTACATCCAGTTGGTAGCCCTTCGGGTGAGTGGGCTTTCATTCCTTCATGCAAGTGTCCTTTGAGCCTAATCTGCATGTCGGGAGATGCAGGCCTGCCAAGTACTCACTGCCCTTTATAATCGTCATCTCTTGCCCCAGGAAACAGCTAGGCTACTGGACCAATATCACTGTTTTGAAGAAAATTTTCTAGAATGGGATGGGAATGGAATAGGAACTGAGGGAAAGGGCTTGAAGGAGGCTGCCCACATCTCTATTTTTGTAGATATAGACCAGAAGAAAGCACAGGCCTCAGAGACCTATCCAGAATAATCTTAAGAGCATTCTAGGCCAAAAAAAAAAAACAAAAAAAAAACTTGCTTTTCATGCTCAGGAAGATAATGTGGTTTTATGCTCTAGCACCTCATACTCCTAAACCAGCCAGATACAGCAACTGATAGCATCTTTTAATAAGGGAATAGAAAAGAGGAGGAATGTTTTGAATTGTCCTGCCTATCAGCCTGTCCATAACACTGGAAGATAGACTCATGGAAAAGACACTGGCATCTCAAACACAACACGGAAGAGGATTCATGATAATTCAGATCCATTCTGTTCTGAGAAAGACCTTTGTCAAGCAAAAAACAGTCCTTCTTCCCTTAGCGACCACACTCATGCACCAAATCACAGTGAAGAGTCCGGGTAAGACAAATGTGAATGTCTCCTGCTGCTACCAATCCCCAAAACATCCATGGACAAAATGTTGGAAATAAGACCCCGAAGGGGTGACTTGACTATTTTTCTTTTATTTACAGGAGAACACATTCCCAGAGTGCATTGGATACCTCTCACTAGCTACCAAGATACAATCGTCCCATGTTCCTCAGTTACTTCACCTTTTCAGTCTCCAGGCCAGCACGTCCCACATAGCAAAATAACAATCTAGAGGAAACAATACACTTCAGATGAAAACTGGGAGATGGTCGTTATCACATATGTTCCGATATGTGCCCCTCCTGGACTGTTATCTATTCGCAGGCCTCAGGAATCAAAGTGTTCATACATCCTGAGCAGCATTCACCACTATCCCAACTTGGGCTCCTCTGCCTCTGCCAGAACCTGTAACCTGCAGTGACATGCAGTACTGCTAGTAAGAACGTATCAATTTATCTCCTCAAATGCAACAGCGAGGGGGAGAAAGTGGTGAAGCAGGTTGATCTGTCTTAGGAGAAAAATAAGTTTTCAGTTACCTTGCTGAGCAGTGTCTGGGACCAATAAAATCTGAATGCGCATTCCTAGGCACATCCCTGCCTAGGTGAGCAGCTTCTCATCGCTATCATCAGTGAGCTCCTGCACAGAATGCTCTTTGCACTGAAGGCTAGATTTAACCAGCAATGGACCAAGGGAGACCTAGAGGCAGCACTTCTCCAACATGTTCACTGTCTTTTGAAGGAGGAGGTGTACCAGAGATGACTGCCAGAATCTCACAGCCAGATGCTGAATAGTAGATTCTTTATCCCTCACCAGAAGGATTTCTTGCAGGAGGAATCTGTTCCCCTAGCAGGGCATTTCCTGGTTCTCTTATTTGGTCATCTCCATGACAGAACCATTGTCCCTTTCTGATGGTCCTTGGCCACAAAGTCACTGGGCAGTAGAGGTTGGCATGGCTCCAAGACATCCCGAAGATACAATTTACCCTGACCAGAGCATATGGAAGAACACCTCAAATTACTTATGGCTGTAACAACAGATAAAGGATGACAAAAGCCATCTCTGCCACAGAGCAGATACAATACTCTTTGATGTAGCCATAAGTCTCAAAATGAAGTGAAGAGCCAAGAATGGAGAAGAAAGACAGAAGAGGTCTCAGAGAATCCAAAGTGTTTAGAAGTGGTACCTGTGGAGCCTGCTCCTGCTGCCCGAGAGGTGTGACAGATAGTCAGGGGACAGGGCAAGCACGCTTCCAGAAGAATCTGATACATCTCTTTGGCTGTAACATGAGCTGAAGTCAGCCTGAGAACAGACTGTGGCAATGTGAATGGACCATGGGTGACATCAGCACACATCAGTTAAGCGGAGGTTACTATCGCAGATGGTTTTCACATCCAGAGCAGCCACAGGAAACTGGATGAAAGGCTCATAAGTTTCCCCTTGGGTTTCTCACATAATTTCCCCAAACATGCCAGGTCTTGACTCAGAACAGATATGCTCATAGCAACCAAGCCTTTTTCTCATCTTTCTCCCACCCTAGCTGTTGTTTCCCTGGACTCAACCTACCTGACTCCCTGGCCTCTAGTCCTGATCCTGAACTTGGCTGGCTCTGTGCTGATCTGTTCTCACTGCCATAGTATTCCTAAATCTACACTCAGCTCTACTACTGTCCTTTCTTTTCTAACCCACTTTGCTGTTGACCAAAACTGAGTTGTCCACATTTCTGCTAGCAACTCTGCAAGGAAAAGGATGAAAAGGATTGTGTATGAGTTAACCTCAGTGGCCACTCCTGCCTCCTTGGATGCATTCACATTTCCATGGTCATGGTCTGGGATTAGTAAAGGCAGGATCTGGACACAGGACATGAAGACAATGGTTGAAAATAGGGTTTGGGTTGAGGATTCAAAGCTACATTGGCAGGATGGGGGGAGAGGAGGGTGAATATATTTAAGAGATAGGTGAGATGGGATCTTTACATACTTAAATCTGGATGCCCATTGGATTTAGATGCAAAACAGATTCTGAGAACACGATGCAAAGAAGAAATGGGAAGCACCGGGAAACAAGATTTAACCAGCTCAGCAGGCATATTAAGGGCATGTATCCCATCTGTACTGTAATGTTTAAATTGCACATGCCAACCGCTCAATTTACCAGCTTCATAAGGCCCCAGAGAATATTGACTACAGGTGAACTATGACAGTTGGAATGTATTCACATTCCAACTAAAAGTACATTAATGTAATGGAAAGAGGTGCTTTTTGACCACCTTACTGCAAAGGAGCAAGGATGCACTTTAAATATCAGAATGCTATGAGACTATGATTTGGAAAAGTATCTTTTGTTTTCCTCACATCTTAATTGCATCTGAGGAACCTGCATCTTAACCTGTTGTTGCCTTCTGCCTCTCAGAAGGGCTGTGCTAGGTTATCTGACTAACAGCTAATCAAATTAAATGTAAAGATCCAGCAAGGATCAGAGGAACAATGACAGGCCGAGGAACCCAAGTAACTTAATATAAGAAGAGAACACACTGAATCTGCCTGACCTAAGGTCATCAAAGGAGAAGGATCAGATCCTGGTATGACACCTGCCAAGATGAATCAAAGAA